TAATCCGCGTGTCATTTTTACCCCCCCCCCCCTCTGACGTGTGGATTTGGAAACATTAACAAAGTGAGGGGGGGGGGGGCGGCGGGGAGAGCGGGGGGCGAATGTGCTCCCGAGCGAAGACTTCAAAGGGCGCTTAAAAAAAAAACCCCCCGTGGTGAAACACGACCGCTGCAATTTCCACCGGGGACAGAAACAGAATGAGGAACGGCCGCCGCTGCGGACGAGGGGGGAAGGCCGAGGTCGGAGGCGCCGTACCGACCGCCGAGACGGAGGCACGGGACGCGTGACGCGTGGCGGGAGGGGGGGGACGATGGCCGGGAGGGGGGGGGGCCGGTGACTCCTCGTGGTGTCTCCAGCCGGGGAGACTGAGTGGCGAAATCGTCCGGTGCGCAAGGCGGGGGCGGTGGTGGCGACGGTTCAAGGGGGGGGTCGGGGGTCGCGAGCCGCGAGTGAGCCACGTGGCTGCCTGGGAGTCTTGCAGCCTCTGGCGAAATATTGTAATGGTCAGGGACCAGCTGAGCTTGCAAAAAGAATACGCAGCTTACCGCATTCTCCCCTTGATACGACTCCCTCCCCTCCCTCCCCCGCCCCCTCTGCCCAGCATATTATTTAAGAAAAATCTGGGGTGGTGCATCTTGGAATGCGGTAGTTTTGTGTGTGTGTGTGCGCGCGAGTTTGTATTTTATTTCTATGGGGGAGCTGCGGTGTCGCGGCTGGCTTCCTGTGCTACGGAAGCCGGCGTCCCCTCGGTCGACTCGGCCCTAAATGAGTACCTGGTGCGGTGTGTAAACATCGCCACCGGGGAGACAAAGGCGGTCGGGCGTGGTGCTGTCCACCCACCCCATAGTGTACCGTGCCGGCCTCCATCGGTGCTCGCTAACAGCGCTTGCCCCACAAGTCTGTTGAGGCTATGGTGGAATCTTTCTATGTCTATGTGGAAGCAGGCGTGCAGTGGTTAGCACCAGTCGTGGGCCTCCTCTATGTCGACCCGGCCTCAAATGAGTACCTGGTGCGATGTGTGAACATATCACAACGATAGACTACCATTGATGTACAGCCGCAGACCTTTTGTCAATCCACTGCCGGATGAGGGCCTCCCCATCATTGCAGGCCGCTGTGGGGCTGATTGCACCAGTGTGGAGCGTCACGGTGGCTAGGAAATGTTAACGACCTCGCCTGGTATACAGGAGGTCGTGGGTTTGATCCCGACCCTGACGCCTGCTGTATATTTGGAGTTTGCGTGTCTCTCTCTCTCTCTCATCATCATCACGGTGGCTAGGAGATGTTCACTACCTTGCCTGGTATACAGGAGGTCGTGGGTTTGATCCCGACCCTGATGCCTGCTGTATATTTGGAGTTTGCGTGTCTCTCTCTCTCATCATCATCACGGTGGCTAGGAGATGTTAACTACCTCGCCTGGTATGCAGGAGCTCGTGGGTTCGATCCCAACCCTGACGCCTGCTGTATATTTGGAGTTTGCGTGTCTCTCTCTCTCATCATCATCACGGTGGCTAGGAGATGTTCACTACCTTGCCTGGTATACAGGAGGTCGTGGGTTCGATCCCGACCCTGATGCCTGCTGTATATTTGGAGTTTGCGTGTCTCTCTCTCATCATCACGGTGGCTAGGAGATGTTAATTACCCCGCCTGGTATGCAGGAGCCCGTGAGTTCGATCCCGACCCTGATGCCTGCTGCTGTGTATTTGGAGTTTGCGTGTTTTCACTCCCTGTGGTCGCGTGGATTTTCCTCCGGGTCCTCCCGTTTTTTTCCCTCCACGGTCAGAATCAACGTCCACGCGCTTAGAGTGTTTTGGCTGCTCGACATTTCCACGTGATGATGATAAGCCACCTCCTTCGGCGATCGTTTGTGGCCCAGGTCGCTCGCTGAAAAAGATCGACACAGCTCGGTGGGCCTACACTGGTAAAATAAAAATGCGGTTTAATATTTTTTTAAAATTGTTTCATTCATGGATGTGGCTACGCACGCGCCCGCGTTCCCAGTTCAGCGCGCTAACCGTTGCCCCACTGCTCCCACGATTGTACATCTCGTGCATGAATGGCGGGGGGCGAGGGGGTGCTCGGCCTTGCCGTTATCGCATTCCTCCTCGCCCGTAAGCCTGGCACGTGGCTTCTCTTGGCGCCGCGGTGATGAATTTTAAATGAAATGTCGCACGGGTCAGAGAACCGGGCCAGCAGCAGCAACAGCAGCAGTGGTAGCAGCAGCAGCAACAGCAGCAGTAGCAGCAGCAGCAACAACAGCAGCAACAGCAGCAGCATCATCAATAGCAGCAGCGACAACATCAGCAGCAGTAGTAGCAGCAGCAGCAGCAGAAGCAGCAACAGCAGCTACAGCAGCAGCAACAGCAGCAGCAATAGCAGCAGCAGTAATAGCAGCAACAACAGCAATAGCAGCAGCAGCAGCAACAACAGCAACAGCAGCAACAGCAATAGCAGCAATAGCAGCAGCAATAGAAGCAACAGCAACAACAGCAATAGCAGCAGCAATAGCAGCAGCAATAGCAGAAGCAGCAATAGAAGCAGCAGCAGCAATAGCAGCAGCAGCAACAGCGCTGGGAGGAGACCTCATCACTCATCCCTGCCTCGTCCTTCCACTTGGCGTTGGGAAGACGGCTCACAATGCTCTCGTCGTCAACGTCGTGATGCTGCCCATAACGATGATTACTGATAGTTATTAATAATGATAATAAAGGATGAATGTTTTCAGTCTAAGACAAGCAAAACTCAATGTTCGACGATAACTGCGGCCTTAAAGAATATATGTAATGAACGACGTTTCAGGTAACGGTCCTTATTCATAGTAACATAATGAAAATAAATTATGTAAAGCTACGGACACAATGATAGATTGGAGTGTGTCTTTCGGATGTGATGTGTGCCGGGTTTAGTTGCCGGATGATTATGATGACGACTGTGCTAGAGACATGGAGTGGATAATACTGGTAGGAACCTCCTGGTTACACCAGCCCACAGGGGATTATTGTGTCCGTCCGTCGTGCATCCAAAAATGGGAGGGATGGGGCTGGGTGGGAGGGGTGGGGCTGGGTGGGGAGGGGCTGGTCACCCCGTGGTGCCCTTATAAAACTCAACGTTTAACCTACTCACGCCGGCTTGTGCCCGCCCTCACAGTCGGCCATATTTGCGGAATACACCACGCCGCCGTTGACCCTGCAGGCCATTGACCGAGCAACCCAACGTTCCTACCAGCTCCCTCCGCGGGAATGTGTTAAGAGTCGGATAATACTTCACTTGTTTACACTGATGACCAGTTTTTGTTTCGCAAATTGGCACACGGATTTATTTATGTCGTTCTATTCAGGCCACAGTGGTGCTATTGTGTCGGCGAAAGTTCCGAGTGCTGTTCATTGTGCTTGCGCAACGATGCCTACACAGCAGTGGCAGCAAATAATCTTATTAGATTACTTTTGATGTACGATTGATGGTGATGATGACGATGATGGACACAGTCCTGCCCTTCCCTCTGACCTGGAAATGGAACTAATCACCGTGGAGGTGAAAATGACTGTGGTGACGGTGGTAGTGGTAGTGGTGGTGATGGGTTCGGTCGGTGGTGTAGCGGTTATCGCTACGCTGCCCTACGAACCCGGCGACCCGAGTTCGATTCCCGCTCACGGCCAACACCGGGTGACGATTATCTGAACCGGTCCTGGGCCTCCCGCAGGTCGGCTCGGCCTCAAATGAGTACCTGGTGCGGTGTGTAAACATCGCCACTGGGGAGACAAAGGCGGCCGGGCGTGGTGCTGGCCACCCACCCCCTCGAGTACCCTGCCAGCCTTCATAGGCACTGCTCGCTAACAGCACTTGCCCCAACAGTCTGTTAAGGCTACACGGGGGAACTTTGCCTTTGTGCTGGGGGTACAACGTCACCCGCGCCCTCGTGTGCCGATAACGGCGCTCGCTAACAGCACTTGCCCCGACGGTCTCTGCAGTCTACGCCGAGGATCTTTGTCTCCGATGGGCTTCGTGAAACCCCGACTGGGACTCGAACCCACGCGCTGCCGATCTTGAGAGCCACAACCCCGCGCCGCCTTTGTGCCCCGATTTCCATGCGGCACGGACGCTGATCGTGCCCGCGAGCGAGCGGGCGGGCGGACGGGCCGTCCTTGTAGCGCCATCGATTCCCCCTCTCTCTCTTTCCCCCCCCACGTTCTGCCGTGCGTCATCTCTCGTCATCTCCCCAGGCAGGGGTCGGAGGGCGCGGGGCTCTCCTCACCCTGCCAGACCCACTCACCCCCCACCGTGGAGACGTAACGGAGCATGCGTGAACGAGCGCGCGTACGTGCCAGATCGTACGTGGCAGAGCGTACGTGACAGAGCGTACGTGCCAGATCGTACGTGCCAGATCGTACGTGACAGAGCGTACGTGGCAGAACGTACGTGGCAGAGCGTACGTGACAGAGCGTACGTGGCAGAGCGTACGTGGCAGAGCGTACGTGGCAGAGCGTACGTGGCAGATCGTACGTGGCAGATCGTACGTGGCAGAGCGTACGTGGCAGAGCGTACGTGGCAGATCGTACGTGGCAGATCGTACGTGGCAGATCGTACGTGACAGAGCGTACGTGCCAGAGCGTACGTGCCAGAGCGTACGTGCCAGAGCGTACGTGCCAGAGCGTACGTGCCAGAGCGTACGTATGTGTACGTGTGCGTACGTGCGGGCGATTTGGCCGCTGCTTGGATATGTGCCTGCCTACGTGCTGCCGCACTGATGGAGAAAATGCAATGCTCAGCGTTTTCCACCTCCCTTCTCCCCCCCCCCCCGCCATCACCCCGGCCCCCTCTCTCACTGCCCCCTCCTGCTCTTTCCAAAATCTCCCTCTCACTCTCCCTTCACTGCTGGCTCCCTCCTTCTCTCTCTCTCTCCCTCCTCCCTCCCTCCCGCTATCTCCTTCTGTCCCACTCTCTCCCTGCTTCCCTTCCTCCTCCTCTGCCCGCCCCACCCCCCCTTGCTCCCTGTCCCCTGCCCCGCGCTCTCTCCTCCCCCATCTCCCCCCCTCCTTCCCCTCCTGGCTGGTGCAGTCTGTTGACCTTCATTCGCTCCGATCCCATTGCTCCTACCGCTCGGCCACTGCTCTCCTCCGCTCTCCTCCGCTCATCGGCGCAGCGTACCTGCGGGTCGACGAGCGTTGCCGGTCAGTCTGTCTTGTTGCATCCTCGTCATCCTCGCCATCGTTGTCATCGCGGATATCATCATTGTTATCGAGATCAATATTATCATCATCATCATTGTTGTCGTCAAGGTTCTGATTGTTATTGTCACGATCGTGATTGCTGCATCGTCAAGCGTGACCTATTCACTGTCTCGCGATGCCACAATCCATCTGGCGCCTGCACGCGTGCCGACCTCCGTCGCTCCATCTCCGCGCTGGTCGTATTCTCGGGCGCCGGTCACTCCGCCGACGCGATCGCACGATCGGCATTCTCGTCGTCGTCGTCATCGCCATCGTTGCTATCGTTAATCCCCCGCCACCGTGTAACAATGTCGTGACGCGTGAGAGCGTGAGAGCGTGACGTGCTTGTGCCGAGAGAACGGGAAGCGGAGTCGCTCGGTCTCTGTCCTCGGATGAACCTCGCGTGAGCGTGTTAACCCCTTCGGAGTGCCTGGGATTTAACTCGCTACCTTCCTTCGAGAGCTCAGCATCGATGGGTTCAAATGAAGCTGAGCTTAAATTCCTGTAATCGAAACGGCGTCTCATTTTTCAAACGTATTTTTGCAAACCTGTTTTTCCCCAGTGTCGTTCCACCGGTTGCTATCGGCGTTCGCATCACTAAGCGGATGTCCAGCCGCATCTCACAGAGCGCCGCAACTCTCCGCGGAAAGCGGATAACGTAAAGCTACCTCTGAGATGCCTTCTTCAAGTGACGCTCTAGACCTCGCTGCTCGGAGCAGCATTTTTACCACCCGCTCTGCCGCCCCAATTAGCACGGTTGGCTACGTACGGCGCGGAAGAAGTTCCACGTGCATACATGCCATGAGAGCGTCAATATCTTGTTTAATCGCTGGAGCCGGGATTTTGGTCCAAATTAAGTGCTGGTCCGAATTTGATATGACAGGGGAGATTTTTGTGCAGTCATTGGTTAAACTATTAAAATTACAATTTTTACCAGGTGTAGCGCTTTTTCATGAGCGACCTGGCCACCGCAGAGGATGGCTCGACGAAGCGGCTTGTCGCGTGGAAATTTATACCCGGAGCCAACTACTCTAAACGCACATTGCTAGACGTGGAGGGAAAACCCAGGGGACCCGGAGAAAAATCCACGCGACCACGGGGAGAGAGACGCAAACTCCAAATATACAGCGGCAGGCGTCAAGGATCGGGATCGAACCCACGACCTCCTGTAATACCAGGCGAGGTAGTTAACATCTCCCAGCCACCGTGATGATGATGATGATGAGAGAGACACGCAAACTCCAAATATACAGCAGCAGGCGTCAGGGTCGGGATCGAACCCACGACCTCCTGTAATACCAGGCGAGGTAGTTAACATCTGCTAGCCACCGCCGCGTCCTCATCACGGGCAGCTGACACCTGGGTTTGAGCCCAGGATCGCTGCAATGTTGTTTGGACAAGATTATCGGTTATGTTGTGTGGTCTTATTTTAGCTGTGCGACAGAAACCGGAGAACCCGGATGAAACCCGTGCAGTACAGGGGTGGGGAGAACAGTACAACACTCCACGCAGAAAGTTGCCCGCGACGCGGATCGAACGCTGCGAGGCACGAGCGTTTCCGTTGTGCACAATACCTGCCGCCCTGCAGACCTGCCGAACTTGCATCGAAAATATTCTGCGCGTGCTGGGGGGAGGGGTGGGGGAGCGGTGGCGCAGTGGTTCGTGCACTGCGCCACGAACCCGTCCAAGCCACAGTTAAATTCTCCCGCCCGCGACCAAATATCGGTGGCAAATGTTTAGACCGGGTCCTGGAACATCACCCGGGTCAATTCAACCTTAGCTGAGCGCCTGGCGAGGTGTGTATTAAACATGAGCACTGGGGAGACAAAGCTGGCCAGGCGTGGTGCTGCTGGCCACCTCGTGTGCCGTGCCAGCCCGTTTAACAGGCGCTCGCGAACGGCGCTTGCACCCAGCAGCCCGTGACAAGCTACATGGGGGTGGGTGGGACCCTCCCGTTGTCTCTGTTGCAGGCGGTGACCCCGCACAGGGATGACGACAGCGATGGACTCCGCCCACGCGACCTCGCAGTTCCAGGCCCAGGTTCAGCTGGAGATCGAGAAGTCCATGGACCATGAGCTCAAGAAGCTGCTGCACACGTGCAGCAAGGACCAGCTGGAGGTAACTAAAAACTCAACTCGAAATAATTTTTATTTTGCCAGGTAAGGCCCACCGAGGTGTTTATATAGCTCTTTTTAAAGAAGCGAACTCGGTCACGAGTGACGGCTCTTGAGGGCCGTGCCCACGACCGTCTCCAGGTGGATCACGTTCAGCCCCCCCCCCGTCCAGGGTCTGTGCGGTGTGGGAATGGGAATCGTCGTAATATTTTTTGAAACTGCAGGAGGATTCTGATGAGCACTACGAAGCTGTTTTTCACCAGGTGCCCAGTAGCGCGGGGGGGAACGGGGTCAGAATGTCACGCCAACGACAAACACGATAAAAGAGCAAACTGCAGGAAAGGTAAACTAATCACTTCAAAAAGAAAAAAAAAAGTTTTAAAAAATGTCTTGCCACTGGAGCTATTAGCTTACTTTTCAGAAGGAACCTGGCCATAAATGTATAGCTTGGCAAAGTAGCCCTATCATGTGGGAATTAAAAAATATTTTTTAATCAAAATCATAGACACGCATGTTAATAAATGTAGAGGGACAAACCGGAGGACCTGGAGAAAAAACCACGCCTCCACGGGGAGAAAAACACACAAACTCCAAATGTACAGCAGGCGTGAGGGTCGCAGTCGAACCCAGCACCTCCTGCATACCAGGCGAGGTAGTTAACATCTCGCCACCGCGGCATAACGAGTCTCCCCCTCCCACAGCGGTGGCCCTACGGGACGCGGGGGGTCACGGGGGGTCACGGGGGGTCGCGCCAGCTGGGCCGCCCGCCGCTGTGGGCAGAGCGTAGGTGCCCAGCTCAGCACCGCACGGAAACGACTGAATGGTTTTGCGACTGCGAGCCATGCGGGAATGGGGTGGTCTGCATGTGCCTCCTAAGTTCGAGCCCCGCTTACGACCGTCGATGGTGGCAAGACGCTGTCTTTCCGACAGCCCTGTTCTTCACATGAGGACGGCTGCTTGCGTTGTGGCCGAAACGTCATGAGAATTGTATTTTATTATGTTTTATTTTTATTATGTTTTATTATTGTTTCATTATGTTTTATTATTATTTTATTATGTTTTATTTTTATTATTTTATTATTTCCCTTCTACGTGACTTTACCGAAAGAACCAAGAAGATGAATCCCTGCAGTCACGAAAGCTTTAAATCGAAATTTAATGGTGGCAAATACATGAAACGGTCCTGTGCCACTCCTCATTCGACTCGGCCTCAAATGAGTACCTGGTTGCCGTGTGTAAACACCGCCATTGGGGAGACAAAGGCGGTCGGGTGTGGTGCTGGCCAGCCATCCCCCCTCGTGTTGCCGTTCTGGCCTTCGTACGTGCTCGCTGATAGCACTTGCTCCAACAGCTTTTTAAGGTTATACGGGGGATCTTTGTCTTTCTCGCGGGTGCAAGTGGCACGGCAGAGGTCGCAAACGGGTTTTGATTCCTTACCCGTACCCGTACCCGGCCGCACCAGGGTCGCAAACGGGTACCCGTACCCAGCCGGGTACGGGTAGCCAGGTATCAGGTAGGGTACGCGTATCGGGTACCCGATTGTGACCTCTGTGGCACGGCGTTTGGCACGCGGCGCTACGAACCCCACGACCCGAGTTGGAGCCCTGCCCGCGACCGACAGCGGCGGCGCGAACATGTTGAATGGTCCCGTGTCTCTCCCCGGTCGATCGGCCTTCAATCAGTACCTCGCGACAAACGCAGCCGTGCGTGCTTCTGGCCGCCCACCCCCTTCGTGCGCGAATCCGGCCTTCATCAGCGCACGCTTAACAGCACTCGCCCCAACGAGTGTGCTGAGGCTCCGCGCCGGGGATATCTTTGCCCTCCCCCTCCCCTTTCGCGTTGACGTCTGTCTTGATTTGTTTTTACGCAGATGATCCCGTTTAGCCAGTTTCCCCGGCTATTTTACTGCGGAGGTGGTTGGCATCTAACAAAAGAAAGGGAGCCCCACAATCATTAAAAGAACATCAGCGTCGCTGAGAACGGGCGCAGCAGTGGGGGGGTGGTTAGCACGTGACTCTCCGAACCTAACCGCACCAATAGTATTCCTGCTTTTGCGGGGTCAGCGCCCGTGGCTCTCAAGGGGCTGTCTGTTGGAGCCGGTCAGCTCGCCTGAGCGGGCGAGCGGATAGGAGAACATTTGGCGCGTTGCTCAACGCGCGTGCACGCTGCAGTTGAGTCGTTTTGGGGTTTGACCGCAGATTCAGGCCGTGACTACTTGCGCTTGGTTGCCCAGTTGAAGCCTCGCTGAGTCTCAAGACTCCTGGGAGGTTTTTTTCGGGAGGGTCCTGCCAAGGTTTTCACAGCAGAGGGGGTCGATGTTGTTGCTGCTGCTTCTGTGCTGTGCGATCCCAATTGAGTAACTTGCAGGAAATGTGTGGGCATTGGTGATGTTTTTGCCGATACCGGTTACACGTGGTTTTAGGTTTTTTTTTTGTTCGCTACGGCAGGAAGTCAGAGAACAGGGAGGAAACCCACACAGGATGGGGAGAGAACACACAAACTCCGCACGCTTTCTCACAGACAAAGATACCCCGTGTCGCCTGAACAGACTTTTGGAGCGGGTGCTGTTGGCGAGCACCTATGAAGGCCTGCGGCTCGATACGAGTACCTGGTGCGGTGTGTACATCACCCGCACTGGGGAGACAAAGGTGGTCGAGCGTGGTGCTTGCCACCCAACGCCCTCGCGTGCCGTGCCAGCCTTCGCAGGCGCTGCTTGTTAACAACACTTGCCCCAACAGTCTGCTAAAGGCTATACGGGGGCTCTTTGGCTTTGTGTAACCTCTGTGTGTGTGTGTGTTAGACCCAAAAAAAGAATGTTAAATAATGTAGGAGTCAAGATGACATCCGTGTATGTACTCAAACATGAACAGATTAAGGCTGCAACTGCCTGCCACGTAGATTTCCCCTGACCTTCACGCCGTCACGAAGGTCCTTCGTGATTGTGAGCTTGGGTCCGGAATCCCGAAAGCATGAAGAATAACCCAGAGCCCTGGTCTATTGATGGTAGGCCTTGACCAGGACAGTAAAGCAGAGATGTAGAGATGTGCGTGTTCTACCTCTGTGCGGTGTGTGTGTGTGACCTCTGTGTGTGTGACCTCTGTGTGTGTGTGTGTGACCTCTGCGTGTGTGTGTGACCTCTGCGTGTGTGTGTGACCTCTGCGTGTGTGTGTGACCTCTGCGTGTGTGTGTGACCTCTGTGTGTGTGTGACCTCTGTGTGTGTGACCTCTGTGTGTGTGTGTAACCTATGTGTGTGTGACCTCTGTGTGTGTGACCTCTGTGTGACCTCTGTGTGTGTGTGACCTCTGTGTGTGTGTGTGTGTGACCTCTGTGTGTGTGACCTCTGTGTGACCTCTGTGTGTGTGTGACCTCTGTGTGTGTGTGACCTCTGTGTGTGTGTGTGTGTGTGACCTCTGTGTGTGTGACCTCTGTGTGACCTCTGTGTGTGTGTGACCTCTGTGTGACCTCTGTGTGTGTGTGTGTGTGACCTCTGTGTGTTGCTGCAGGCTGTTCAGAGGGACTTCAATGGGTTCCAGAAGCTGTTCCACCGCTTCCTTGGAGAGAAGGGGCCGTCGCTCAACTGGGAGAAGATCCAGCGTCCACCCGAGGGCTCGGTGCGTCAGGGCACGCGACACCCAGTCGCACACCGCCTTACTTCCAGCCACACTCAGACACACCACGTTACACCCAGTCATACCGCGTTACACCCAGCCACACTCAGCCACACGACACCCAGTCATAACGCCTTACATCCAACCACGCTACACCCAGTCACACGACACCCAGTCACACCGCCTTACTTCCAGCCACGCTACACCCAGCCACACTCGGCCACGCGACACCCAGTCATACCGCGTTACATCCAGCCACGCCACCATCATCATCACCGTCGTGATTGTTATCGCTACCGCCCTTAGATCGAGCCGTACGAGAGTATCCGCAGCCGGCAGCTGCCCTCGGACCTGGCGTCGCTGCTCAACAAGTTGGTGGTGGTGAAGCTCAACGGCGGCCTGGGCACCAGCATGGGCTGCAAGGGCCCCAAGAGTCTGATCGGCGTGCGCAGCGACAACAACTTTCTGGACCTCACCGTGCAGCAGATCGAGGTGAGGCGAGGGTGAGGCGAGGGTGAGGCGAGGGTGAGGCGAGGGTGAGGCGAGGGTGAGGCGAGGGTGAGGCGAGGGTGAGGCGAGGGTGAGGCGAGGGTGAGGCGAGGGTGAGGCGAGGGTGAGGGTGGTGGTGAGGCAAGGGTGAGTGTGGTGAGGCGTGCGCAGTGACAACAACTTCCTGAACCTCACCGTGCAGCAGATCGAGGCGAGGCGAGGGTGACGCGAGAATGAGTGTGGTGGTGAGGCGAGGGTGAGTGTGGTGGTGAGGCGAGGGTGAGTGTGGTGGGGAGGCGAGGGTGAGTATGATGGTGGTGAGTGGTGGTGAGTGGTGGTGAGTGTGGTGGTGAGTATGATGGTGAGTATGATGGTGAGTGGTGGTGAGTGCAACAGTGAAGAGAGGCGTGACGGTGAAGCGTGGCGAAGCGACACAAACCGTGCGTGCTCCCACCTCTTCCAAGACGCCTAGCCAGCGTGGAAGAGTAGGCCAAACGCCACCTTGAGGGGCTCCCTAGAAAGCTTCCTGTAGTCGGAGGAGACCCATCCGCCGGCAGTGGCACGAGCCGGAAATTGCGAGGGCTGCGCCCATTGACCCCGGCGGGGTGCGAGCGGCACGTCAGGGCGCTGGGTTGACCCGCGACTTTCTGCGCTTGCGCCGTCGTTCCGCGCTGCAGCACCTCAACAAGACGCACAAGAGCGAGGTTCCGCTGGTGCTGATGAACTCCTTCAACACGGACGAGGACACGCAGAAGATCCTGCAGAAGTACGGCCACTTCCAGGTCAAGATCTACACCTTCAACCAGAGCAGGTGCGTCGCTCGCCCACCAGCAGGAAGTCGTGTGCGTATCTGTCTGTGTACGTGTGTGCGAGTGCGTCTGTACGTGCATCGAGGGGGCTAAACGGGTGCGGCACGGGCTAGAGAAGAGATGGAGTGATGTGGTACAGGAGGACGTGGAGCTGAGTGGATTTGCCAATGACTGGTACCAGCGGTGTCAAAAACGGCCTCTGTGGAGGAGGCTTGTGAAGGACGCTACTGGGCAGTTGGAGGCATTCGCCCTCCAACAACAACGGAGGGCGGAGGAGCGACGCTCACAACAATGAGCGGAGCGCCGGGTGGCTCAGGTGGTGCATCAGCCAGTCATCTAGGTCAGTCGACCCGTGGCACCTGGGTCTGCCCCGTGACCTCCTGCCAGCGGGCGTTCAACACTTCACGTGGCCTCAAGGTGCACATGGCCTGGCACAAGCGTCGTGGTGACGTCACCGCCACTTAGTGGCGAATGGCGGTTGTTGTACGATTGCCGTGTCCGTGTGAGCTCGTACGCATGTGTACGAGAGGACTGTGTGTGTGCGCGCGTGGCGGTTGCGCAGCGGCGACTGGAGTTCGATTCCCGCTCACTGCTAGCACGGGCCCTCCCCCAAGCCGACCTCGGCCTTGACATGAGAACTGACGGACAAGACGCACTCCTCAGCAGTAGGCCGGCCGCGCGCGTCTGATTGGGATGTGAAAAAAGAAAACGTTATCTTTCATGACTCGTTAATGGAGCTTGTTACAAAACTGCCGACTCCCGTGACCCCTCCTCCCCGCGCCCGCACCCCGGCGTTGGCACCTTTGGACCCGCGTAAGAGCGACGGTGCCCCAGAGTGTGGCACAAAGTACGGCGAGCAATCGCTGGCGGGCTGGTTGTGGGGGGGGGGGGGTGGCGAGCGGTAGTGGCTACGAGCCCGGGTACCCGAGTTCGCATTCCCGCTCAAGGCCAACACCTGTGACGTTTATCTGAACCGGTCCCAGGCCTCCCCTAGGTCGACTCAGGCTCAAATGAGTACCCTGGTGCTGGTGTGTAGTAAACATCGCCACTGGGGAGACAAAGGCGGACGGGCGTGGTGTTGCCCACCCAGCTCCCTCGTGTGTCAGGCCGGCCTTCGTAGGTGCTCGCTAACAGCACTTGCCCCAACAGTCTGTTAAGGCTACATGGGGGATCTTTGACTTTGGTGGGGTGGGGTGGGGGGGGCACCCTGTTAATCTATTACTATGGTTACTGTGTAATCGCTCCAGTCGGGAGACGAACTCGGGTGTAATAATCCACGGTAAGACGACAGCGCCCGCTGCGTTAGTAACTTGATCTTTAATTGGTATTGCACCTGCGTTAAACCCCTCAATAGCGACAACCATCTTGATGGGTAGTCATCTTTGGGCGCAGGGTGACGCCCGCGTGAACGCCCCCTGCCTCTCAAAACGTCCCCACGTCGCGTCGCGTCTCAAATCATTTCGAGAGGAGGGGGCGCCCCCTTGGGTAGCTGTCACTGTGTGGCATGCAAGGTGGCTCGGATGCCGGTCTGCGAGCGGGCATCGGTCTGCCAGGGGAGAGGGCGGCGAACGCCGCTTCGTGGTCTCGCCTTGGGCAACTCCCGGGGGCAGCTGTCCCTGTGCGGCACAAGGTGACTCCAGGCACATGGCCGGCGAGCGGGCATCGATCTGACGGGAGGGAAGGCCGATGACCCTTTCCAAAAAGGACTGCAGCCGTAGCGTCCTCGCACTCGATTGACTCGGCTGGCCGTTTGACAGTCGCGGCTCGGGCTCGCTTACTGGGCTGGCTTTTCTCCGAGTAGGCGGAGGTCAGCTGGTTTGCGCCCTCCCCTCCCGCCGTGCGTGTGGAAACGGCGATTTGCAAACGCGCCCAGCTGTTTGCGAACTCGTCTCGCTGCCGCCGCCCTATTCCTGGCGCCGTGACTTTTCCTGCGGTTTATTCCGGGCGCTTCGCACTCGTCATCCCGGAATAAACCGCACGGCTCGCTCCGGGAGTGGCGGGGGGTCACGTCGGACGCGCTCCCTCGCCCGCTCGACCCCCGCCTCCCCGCTCGCCCCTCCTCCACGCCTGCCCCCCCCGCTCGCCCCTCCTCCACCCCGCCCCCCACGCGCGCTCTCCCCAAGGTGACCTTGCGTCCCTCTGGCCGTGTGGCAACGGCACGTAAGCCAGAGGCCCGGTTTCTGGTGCGCAGTCGCAACAACGACAACAAAAGCTGCTGCCGCTGCTGCTTCTTGTTCACGCGGCCGCCGGATGTTTATGTAGAGAGGACAACGGCCGTGATTTTCTTTTGTTTTTAGCGTGGAGGTGGTTGACGAAGCCGGGCAGTCGCGTCAGGAGCCACCTTCGCGTTTCTATGTTCCATGGTTCCGTTCGTTCTGCGTGGCGGCGGTGACGGTGGTGGTGGCGGTGGTGGTGGTGGTGGTGCTGGTGGCGGCGGCGGCGGCGACGGCGACCACAGTCGCTGCACAAAGATTATAATATCCCATTTGTGCTTCGTCGTAGTCGTCATCACCATCGCCACCACCGAGTGTCCGCATCTGCTGCTTGCCATGGGTTTGCGTGGTTGCGGTTCGGGGTGGGGGCGGGGTTGTTGGGGGCCCAGAAGCTTCACGGAAGATTTGAACAACAACAAAAAGAAAATGAAATCCCGTAACGCTCACCTAATGAGTTCCCGCCTGACCCTCGCGACTCCAGCTTTTACACGACGGAGTGAGAAGCCCGTCGCTTTTCGTCGACTCCCCGATGAATCTCGCCCTGCACCACACGCTCCCCCTCCCCCGTCACCCCCCCCCTCCCCCCAGAACACCGGCCTATCCACTGTATCATTTTGAGATGGGACTCGCGGTTAATTGATTTCGGGGCCAATAAGCCGAATCGCCGGGCCAGAGGTAACACAAATTCATCGGTTCACGCGAACCACTTTCAGATGGAACAGGAGTTGTCGAAACTGCTGGTGGAGCGGTCCGGGAGGCGTTCACCGGACAAGCGCACGCGCGCGCACAAACACACACACACACACGTGCGCACAAACACACACACGCGCGCACAAACACGCACACCCGTGAAAACACACACACACGTACAAACACACACACGCGCACAAACACGCACGCACGCGCACAAACACGCACACGCGTTCACCGGACAAACGCACGCGCGTGTACAAACACAAACACACGCGTGCACAAACACGCACACACGTGCACGAACGCACGCGCGCGTTCAAACACACACACACACGCACAAACACACACGCACAAACACACACACGCGCACAAACACACACGTACAAACACACACGCGTGCGCAAACGTACGCGTGTGTGTATTTCCGTGCGTACACAAACGCGCGTGTGCGCACGCACGCACGCACGTGCAGACGCACGCATGAGCCGCTTATTTTTAAAAAAGGGGACGGACGGCGGGGCGGCTCGACGAAGATCGCCGACCCCAAAATAAAGGGCGGCGAGAGACGCGGACGGAGGCCGCTCCCTGCCGAGCGGTCTAAACGTGGCATCGGCAAAGAGGACACGGGGATAAGAATAACCGCCACCCCCCCCACCCCGTGCCACAGCCACGCCCCCTGGGTCACGCCAGCGCCGTGCCGCGTGACCTGAGTTGCTGCGGGGGAGGGGAGCAATCACAACGTCTCGTGCCCCGGTTTCCCCGTCCTGGTGGAATCAAACTTATTTCTGTCCGAATCGCAGTTCTAAATCCATTCCGCGGGCCTTTTAGCTGATGTCTCGCACTCCCTCTCTCTCTCTCTCGTGTGTTCCTCTATGCCTCATCGGTGTCCTGTATCTGCTCTCCCCCGCTCTGTGTCCTGTGTCTTGTGTCCTGTGTCCCACGCGTTTCCCCTTTGTCCCGTAATCTTCTCTCTCGCGCCCCGCATCCCGTCTCCGTACCCTGCGTCTTCCACCCACGTCCCCCTCTCCGTCTCCTGCATCTCCCGCCTCTCGCCCCGATCCTCTCTATCTCACGTCAATGTCCCTCGTCCGTGTCCTCTGTCCCTTCTCCTCCCCGCGTCTCCCCCCCCCTTCTCCGTACCACGTGGCGTCGCCGCGCATCGCCACGCCTCCCGACCCAGTCTCCCCCCTCCCGTGACACCTCCCGCGTCTCTCCCCCCCCTCCCCAACCGCCCAGGTACCCGCGCATCAACAAGGAGACGCTGCTGCCCGTGGCGGAGAGCGTGTCGAGCGCGGGCGGCGCCAACGAGGCGTGGTACCCGCCGGGCCACGGCGACATCTACGACAGCTTCCGCAACTCGGGCCTGCTGGACAAGCTGCTGGCGCAGGGCAAGGAGTTCCTGTTTGTCTCCAACATCGACAACCTGGGCGCCACCGTCGACCTGCACATCCTCAACCACCTGGTGAACCCGCCCAACGGCAAGCGCTGCGAGTTCGTCATGGAGGTCACCGACAAGACACGCGCCGACGTCAAGGTTGGTCGCGTGCGTGTGTGTGTGTGCGCTTGTGTGTGTGCGCGTGCGTGTCTCTGTGCGTGTGTATGTCTGCGCGTGTGTGTGTGTGCATGTGTGCACGCGTGTGCACGCGCGCGCGCGCGTGTGTACGTGTGTGGGGAAGCGGTAGTGTTAGTAGCGGTTAGCGTTACGCTGTCCGTCGAACCTCATGACCCGAGTTCAATTCCCGCTCACGGCCAACACCGGTGACGATTATCTGAACCGGTCATGGGCCTCCCCTAGGTCGACTCGGCCTCAAATGAGTACCTGGTGCAGAATGTAAACATCGCCACCGGGGAGACAAAGGCGGCGGGGCGTGGTGCTGGCCACCCACCCCCCTCGTGTGCCGTGCCGGCCTTCATAGGTGCTGCTCGCTAACAGCACTTGCCCCTACAGCCGCTTGAGCCGGCACCGCAGAGACGTTGGCTTACCGATTTTTTTTTCCGCGTTCCGTCGACTCGAAACGGAGAGCCGCCGACTCGCATAAAAGACACCGGCAGACTCGGAGGCAACCGGGCGGCTCGGAGGTCGGAGCGCCGACGGGCCCCCCGGCTTCACAGACGCGTCGCGTCCATTCGCCGCTGACCACCGCCGTGACCCCGCCGTGACCCCCCTCCCCGTGTGGCCTTGCAGGGTGGCACGCTGATGCAGTACGACGGGAAGCTGCGCCTGCTGGAGATCGCGCAGGTGCCCAAGGACCGCGTGGACGAGTTCAAGTCGGTGACCAAGTTCAAGATCTTCAACACCAACAACCTGTGGATCTCGCTCGGAGCCATCAAGAGGAACACGGACCTGGACATGGAGGTCATCGTGAACCCCAAGGTGCGACCTCGAGCCTCAACCATCACCACCACCGCTACGAACCTGCACCGCTAGCCTCCATCCCTCGCTACCACTCACCTCCACCACTCACCTCCACCCCTCACCACCACCACTCACCTCCACCACTCGCCTCCACCCCTCGCCTCCACCCCTCGCCTCCACCACTCACCACCCCTCACCTCCACCCCTCGCCTCCACCACTCACCTCCACCACTCATCACCCCTCACCTCCATCACTCACCTCCACCACTCGCCTCCACCACTCGCCTCCACCACTCACCACCCCTCACCTCCACCACTCACCACCACCACTCACCTCCACCACTCACCTCCACCACTCACCTCCACCCCTCACCACCACCACTCACCTCCACCACTCATCACCCCTCACCTCCACCACTCACCACCACCACTCACCTCCACCACTCACCTCCACCACTCATCACCCCTCACCTCCACCACTCACCACCACCACTCACCTCCACCACTCGCCTCCACCACTCGCCTCCACCCCTCGCCTCCACCACTCACCTCCACCACTCACCTCCACCACTCACCTCCACCACTCACCTCCACCACTCGCCTCCACCACTCACCTCCACCCCTCGCCTCCACCACTCACCACCCCTCCACCTCCACCACTCACCACCACCACTCACCTCCACCACTCACCTCCACCACTCGCCTCCACCACTCGCCTCCACCACTCGCCTCCACCACTCACCTCCACCACTCGCCTCCACCACTCGCCTCCACCACTCACCTCCACCACTCGCCTCCACCACTCACCTCCACCACTCATCACCCCTCACCTCCATCACTCACCTCCACCACTCGCCTCCACCACTCACCTCCACCACTCACCTCCACCACTCGCCTCCACCACTCGCCTCCACCACTCACCTCCACCACTCGCCTCCACCACTCACCTCCACCACTCATCACCCCTCACCTCCATCACTCACCTCCACCACTCGCCTCCACCACTCGCCTCCACCACTCGCCTCCACCACTCGCCTCCACCACTCGCCTCCACCACTCACCTCCACCACTCACCTCCACCACTCACCTCCACCTCTCGCCTGGCACACTGCTGCCTGGGAGGGCCATGGGTGGAAAAAACCCGATTTTTCCAGCGGCAGGCTTCGGGTTTTTTCTTTAATACAATTAAACCCGATTTCGGGAAATTAAAACCTGGATTAATGAATACGAAACTCTGATCCAAGGCTTAGGCTGCTTCCTCGTCGGTGCTGCTATCGTACTCGGGGGGCCGTCGGGCACGGGGTAGTCGTAGAATGCGGCGGGCAGGTTGGTCTTGATGAACACGAGGAGCTTCTCCTCCACAATCGTGGGCGCCGCCAGTGAGTTCCTTCGCTTGGAATGGATGAAGCCCATCGCTGAGAAGTGCGGTTCTGCAATTAGAACAAATTAAACCGGATTTCTCCCAATCTCAGATGTTCGGGTTTAATATAAAAAAAACAATTAAACCCGATTGTAAAGAAACCCGACTGTGCCACCCTTGGGGAGGGCGTCCCACCGCAGCGCGTCGGCGCGGCGGGCACCCCCAGTGGCAGCCGTCCTCGTGCGGGGCAAGGTGACTCGGCACGTGGTCCGCAGAGCGGGGAATTAGTCTGTCCGGGAGGGGTTGCCGATTACTACGTGGTCTGGCCTGGGGGGGGGGGATGGACCCCCCAGTGGCAGCTGTGGTGACGCAGCGCGCGATGATTGCGAGGGGGAGTTCGTCTGGCATGAAGGGGGTCTGACGGTTGTCGCCAGCGGAGACGTCTCCTCTCTTGATTCGCGAACAACCCCTCCTGCTACTCGCGCTCCTGCTGGTATACCCCTCCTCATGCCGAGTCCTCACGTGCCCCCACTTAAGATGTCGTCTCCACGGCGCCTCTCGCACACTCGCTAATCCCCAATCATCGCCCCCATCTCCCGCCTCTCCGGCGCCAACCCCGTGCCCCCAGCGCGCACACCTGCTTGTCCCCAATTGCACCCGCTCAAGTGCGCGCACTGCGCACATCTGAAAAATAAGCGAATAAATTTCGATTTAATAAATAAAATAGAAAATAAATAAAAAACGCAACAGCAAGAAAATTTGGTTTTCACACCTGACGATGATTGCTTGTGTTGCAATCGAAACGTCGTGAGAATGTTATTGTTTTATTATTTTATTAGTTCCCTTCTGCGTGACTTCACCAAAAGAACCAAGAAGAATAAGCGAATAGCTCCAGTGGTAAGAGAAAAAATAGTTTTAGTTTTCTTTGTGTATATATATTTTTTTAAAGGGATTTGTTTACCTTTCCTGTAGTTTGGTGGAACATGCGTTGCGTGGCACTGGCTCCTCTGAGCAGCCGTGCGAGGGGGATATGGGGGGCCGTGTTTGTTGTTGGCTTAACATTCTGACCCCGTCCCCCCCCCCCCTCCCCGCGCTAATGAGCACCTGGTGAAAAAAAAGCTTTGTAGCTCATCGTAATCCTCCCGCGGTGTCAAAAACTATCTTGACGATTCCCATTCCCACATGGCGCAGACCCTGGACGGGGGCCTGAACGTGATCCAGCTGGAGACGGCCGTGGGCGCCGCGCTCAAGAACTTCGACAACGCGCTGGGCATCAACGTGCCCCGCTCGCGCTTCCTGCCCGTCAAGACGACCTCCGACCTGCTGCTCGTCATGTCCAACCTGTACAGCCTGAGCGCCGGCTCGCTCACCATGAGCGACGCGCGCGAGTTCAAGACGGTGCCGCTCGTCAAGCTCGGCAGCTCCTTCACCAAGGCGCGTACCGGGGGCACGCAGGGACACGTGTGACATGCGGGACACGTGGGACACGTGGGACATGCGGGACACAAGGGACACGTGTGACACGTGGGACATGCGGGGCACGTGTGACACGTGGATCACGCGGGACACGCGTGACACGTGTGACACGTGGGACATGCGGGGCACGTGGGACACAAGGGACACGTGGGACATTAGGGACACGTGCTGACGGGGGGAACTTCTGCCTGTGGGGTGCGCAGGTGCAAGACTACCTGCGCCGCTTTGCCAGCATCCCCGACATGCTGGAGCTGGACCACCTCACCGTGTCCGGGGACGTCACCTTCGGCAAGGGCGTCGTGCTCAAGGTGAGCGGCGAGCCGACGGGGCCTTCCCTCGGCTCGTGCCCCACGCACTCCGTTGGCCAAAGCCAGCTGCGATGATGCTCTCCATTTTGCGTTTCCTCCTCCCACTTCCTCCCCCCTCCCTCTTCCTCCCCCCTCCCTCCTCCTCCCCAGAGGTCGCAACCGGGTACCCGATACCCGGCTACCCGTACCCGGCCGGGTACGGGTACGGGTAGCCGTTTGCGACCCTGGTGCGGCCGGGTACGGGTAAGGAATCAAAACCCGTTTGCGACCTCCGCTCCTCCCCCTCTTCCCTCCTGTGACGTTCCATTCATGGACGAAGCGATGACGTTTGGCTCTCGGAAGAGAGGCGTTCGTTCTGGACGCCCGCGTCCTTCTCGGCCTCCTGTGAACGGAACCAAACGCCGCCGTGGAGGCGAAATGAACGTCGTTTAATTTGAATCCAGCCGTGGCCTGCCGATGACTTCCATTGCGTGCGTTGGCGTGCAGGGCACGGTGATCATCATCGCAAACCACGGCGACCGCATCGACATCCCCACGGGGGCCCTCCTCGAGAACAAGATCGTGTCGGGCAATCTCCGCATCCTGGACCACTGAGGAGTCCCCGCGGCAACGGCGTCGCGGCGGCGTTGTCGCCGCGGCAGCAGGGTCGCCGCGGCAACGCGATCGCCGCGGCAACGGAGTCTCCGCGACGAGGACGACGCCGATGGCGACGGTCGCGCGTCGCCCACTCCGCTCCACGTCTCGCGCTCGGCTCGTCGTCGCCTCCCTCCGCCTCGCTCGCGCGCGTCACCGCTCGCCCCGTGCGTCGCCGTGTGCCGGTGACGCGTCGCCGTGTGCCGGTGACGCGTCGCCGTGTGGGTCCCTCGCGTCCGCGGCGCCGTCGGTTTTAGGCCTCGGTCGGCGGTCAGTGGCGAGCGACGTCCGAACCGTCACCCCCCGCCCCTCCCCCTCCCCAAGTGTCCGTTCCGTTCGCCGGCGCGGTGAAGTATGGTCAGACGACCCACGTGACTTGACACGCCGCAGTGATGCCTTCATCCAGCAGGCGGATGGATGGAGCGGCTGTAACAAATATTTATGTAGTTCTCGACTTGCGGTTTGCGGTGACAACGGCTTTTAACATTACTCTCTTTGCCATATTAGCTGTGATTTGAAACGGAACCCCCGTGTCATCCGATCATAGAACCCACCCCGGGTGTCATCCGATCATAGAACCCACCCCGGGTTTTGTCCGATTGCAAGCACGCCCAGCGTCGATTAGATGCACACCACCATCCCGATCTCGCCCACGCACGGAATCCTCGATTTGCCTCCGATACAAATCCCGTCGGTGCCTCGGAGAAATGTGCATTAACCAGCGTAGAGGAGCGATCGCCCACGCGCACCGCCGCCGTCGGAGATTCGGTGTCGCCGGGTTGTAGCTGCTGCACAATCAGTCGCGTGCAGCCCTCGGCAATTACTTGAATTAAGGGGTTGCTTACGTGCGTGCGTGCGTGTGTGTGTGTGGTGGTGGTGGGGAGCGGTAGCGCAGCGGATAGCACGCTGCGCTACGAAGACCTGCAACTCCCCAGTTGGATTCCCGCTCACGGCAAACACCGGTGACTGTTGTCTGAACCGGCCCTTGGGTCCTCCTCTCGGTCGAATCGGCCTCCGATGAGTTCCTGGTGCGGCCTGTGAAACCGGGGAGACAAAGGCGGCCGGCCGTGGTGTTGGCCACCCACGCACCCCCTCGTGTTCCGTGCCGCCCACAGCCTGTTAAGGCTACACAGGAGATCTTGTCTTGTGCGTGTGCGTCTGGTCCCCCCACCCCACCTTCTTAGTCGCTGCTCGCTAACAGCACTTTTGCCCCAACAGTCTCAAGGCAACGTGGGGTGGGGGGTGGGGGTGGGGTGAGGGGGGGATGGAGGCGTTTGTCTCTGTCCACCCCGTGTCACTGCCCCCCCCCCCCCCCCTTGCAAGTCCAGCCGGGAGAGAGGCCGATCCGCTACCGAGCCCCGACCGCTACCTGGTGGTCCAATTGATCCGGCCGATCCCCGCGGGGGGAGATCTCCTCCGCGGGGGGAGATCTCCTCCGCATTTCGGTGAAGAGCTGCAGCAGGCGACGCCGACCCACTTTTTCTTGTTAGCCGGGCCACTCGCAGCTTCCTGCAGCGTGGCCCGGCTAGATCTCGACTCTCTACTCCGCCACGACGGCAGCCGTCGGCTCGGCGCTCGTGACGCTCGTGCCGCGGGGCTCACGTTGAAGGCAAAGCATCCCCCTCCGTTTGTGAAGGAAAGCGCCGTTTTTCGCGAGCGCCTGCAGAGGCCGGAACGGCACATCGACGGTTCCGCTTAGAACCTTGCCCCCATCACCCACCCCCACCCCCCAGGGCTGCCTTCGCCTGCGCAGTACTGACGTTTTACACACCGCACCGTGGTAATTTTTAAGGCTGAGTCGACCTAAGGGCAGCTTCGTCGCGTCGCCGATGTCGTCCATTCAGGATTTGAACCCGGGTCGCCGAGGTCATTGCACTGTGGTGATCGCTGCTTGCTGGGACACGTGGAGGCGGACGCACGGTTTTTGTTGAGAGTATTGCCTGTGGTGTGCGCACGCCACAGGCCCGGCGTTCGGCGCGGCGTGGCTCGGCAAAGCCCCCTCCGGTCCGTTTTTCCACCGCTGCAGCCGAACCGTGCCACCGACGCCAAGACGCACCCGGAGCGGTGACGCCGGCCGACGTCGCACGCAACGCACCGTCCCCTGGCCCTGCTTGGCCCCCCCCCCCCTCCCCGAGCCAGATTCCGATGTTGTTGCCTTGCGTAGCCACGCGGTGGCACGGTTTGGTTCCGCGTCGGCACGCCGAATAGTCCGGTGGAAAGCCAGCCAATCGTGTGAGGGCCCCCCCTACCCCCCGGCGCTCGTGTTGTAGTGGAAAAAGAGAAATCGACCCCCTCGCACACCGCCCACCCCACCCCTGCCGCGGGTCCGTGGTGCCCGCGGTGCCTCGTGTGTTGGCGGGCTCCTTCTGCCGCTCGTCGTCGCTGCTCGGAGGGATTCATTTTGTTGTTGTGGTTGTTGTTGTTGCGGTGAGGCTTTATTTATTCATTGTATTTCTCGTCATTCTCGCCCGGGCGGCTGCGGGAGGCGTCGTCCGTGGCGACGTCGACACCGACGCCGCCGCGGTGGAGGAGCGAGAGGAGCCGCCCCAAGTCGTGGGGGGCCCGGGGTTGGTGGCACGCGACGGGATTCTCACCCCCCGCACACCCCCATATCCCCCTCGCCGCACGGCTTCTCAGAGGAGGCAGCGTGCCACACAGCGGATGTTCCACCGCTTCCCCCGCCCGCGCCACCACCACCAATGTTTTGTTGACTCCTAGGAACCGAACCGAGCTGGAAAACGGGTGAAGCCTCGTCGCGACGCACGCCGCTGTGACGCACGCCGCTAACAAGTCGCTAAGCAAACCGCCGTCCCACAGACGGCGCGATGGAACTCACGAATGGATCTGAGCGGGGGGTGGGGGGGGGTGAGACTCTCGCTGACAGCTTCTCTGCTTCCCTTCCTCCCTCCGATCCACAATCCAGCAAGGGAGTGAACTCCGACCCTGGTCTATTTATGCTTTTAAACTCCCCGCGCGATGGAACGAGACCCTCGCCCCCCGATGTGGGTCTCGACGCGGCGGTGCCCCCCCCCCCCCCTTGCCCGGAGATTTGCATGGAGCGGTGAATAACGGGGGCGGCCCGGAGCGTTTTAAACGAACGACGTTACACCCCCCCCCCCACCACCACCTACCTACGCGTCGTCGTCGTCGCTGTGTATTTAAAGAATCCCGTTGGGTGTACGAGTGTGGCGATGATGGCCGAGATGAGATGTCTATTACGGTACGGTATAATAATAACAATAATGACGATAATATATTGATGTGAACCCGCCGCCGCCGCTGTGTGGGCAAGCGGTCGCGTCGCGGGGGTCCGCGGTGTGGTCTGTCGGTCTGTCGGTCTGTCGGTCTGCCGGTCTGTCGGTCTGTCGGTCTGCCGGTCTGTCGGTCTGTCGGTCTGTCGGTCTGTCGGTCTGCCGGTCTGTCGGTCTGTCGGTCTGTCGGTCTGTCGGTCTGTCGGTCTGCCGGTCTGCCGGTCTGTCGGTCTGTCGGTCTGTCGGTCTGCCGGTCTGTCGGTCTGTCGGTCTGTCGGTCTGTCGGTCTGCCGGTCTGTCTGTCGGTCTGTCGGTCTGTCGTCTGTCGGTCTGGTCTGCGGTCTGTCGGTCTGTCGGTCTGCCGGTCTGTCGGTCTGTCGGTCTGCGGTCTGCCGGTCTGTCGGTCTGTCGGTCGGTCTGCCGGTCTGCCGGTCTGTCGGTCTGTCGGTCTGTCGGTCTGCCGGTCTGTCGGTCTGCCGGTCTGTCGGTCTGTCGGTCTGCCGGTCTGCCGGTCTGCCGGTCTGTCGGTCTGCCGGTCTGCCGGTCTGTCGGTCTGTCGGTCTGTCGGTCTGCCGGTCTGTCGGTCTGTCGGTCTGTCGGTCTGTCGGTCTGCCGGTCTGTCGGTCTGTCGGTCTGTCGGTCTGTCGGTCTGTCGGTCTGCCGGTCTGCCGGTCTGTCGGTCTGTCGGTCTGTCGGTCTGCCGGTCTGTCGGTCTGTCGGTCTGCCGGTCTGTCGGTCTGTCGGTCTGTCGGTCTGCCGGTCTGTCGGTCTGTCGGTCTGCCGGTCTGTCGGTCTGCCGGTCTGCCGGTCTGCCGGTCTGTCGGTCTGTCGGTCTGTCGGTCTGCCGGTCTGTCGGTCTGTCGGTCTGTCGGTCTGTCGGTCTGCCGGTCTGTCGGTCTGTCGGTCTGTCGGTCTGTCGGTCTGTCGGTCTGCCGGTCTGCCGGTCTGTCGGTCTGTCGGTCTGTCGGTCTGCCGGTCTGTCGGTCTGTCGGTCTGCCGGTCTGCCGGTCTGCCGGTCTGTCGGTCTGTCGGTCTGCCGGTCTGTCGGTCTGTCCGTTCTGTCGTCTGCCGGTCTGTCGTCATGTCGGTCTGCCGTCTGCCGGTCTGCCGGTCTGTCGGTCTGTCGTCTGCCGTCCTGTCGGTCTGCCGGTCTGCCGGTCTGTCGGTCTGCCGGTCTGCCGGTCTGTCGGTCTGTCGGTCTGCCGGTCTGCCGGTCTGTCGGTCTGTCGGTCTGTCGGTCTGCCGGTCTGTCGGTCTGTCGGTCTGTCGGTCTGTCGGTCTGCCGTCTGTCGGTCTGTCGGTCTGTCGTCTGTCGGTCTGGTCGGTCTGCCGTCTGCCGGTCTGTCGGTCTGTCGGTCTGTCGGTCTGCCGGTCTGTCGGTCTGTCGGTCTGCCGGTCTGTCGGTCTGTCGGTCTGTCGGTCTGCCGGTCTGTCGGTCTGTCGGTCTGCCGGTCTGTCGGTCTGCCGGTCTGCCGGTCTGCCGGTCTGTCGGTCTGTCGGTCTGTCGGTCTGCCGGTCTGCCGGTCTGTCGGTCTGTCGGTCTGTCGGTCTGTCGGTCTGCCGGTCTGTCGGTCTGTCGGTCTGTCGGTCTGTCGGTCTGTCGGTCTGCCGCCGGCTCGCGGCATCCGTTGGCAATAAAGGCGACGTGGAAACTCGTCGAGTCGTCGTGAGCTGGGGGGGGACCGCGCGGGTCGATGATTCCAACAGCGGCGCTGCCACGTTGATGTTCGCGGAGAGAGAGGGTCGCGAGTTCAATATCCTGGCTGGTGCATTGACTCGGCCCATCATCCTCCCTCCCCCGCCCTCTCGGGTCGATAAAATAGCCACCACTTCGTGGGTAAGTCAACGGTGTTTGTCCCCCTATGGATAATCTCGCTCCCAGCGTAGGAAGGTGGAATTTCCGCCACTGGCTCGGAGCGAGCGGTTCGCGATCGAATGGTCCCGAGTTCTAAATCCGAAAGAACCAAAGATTCCTGCAGTCACGAAAGCTTCACATCAAGACTCAGCCCATCATCCCCCCCCCCACCTCCCCTCTCGGGTCGATAAAATAGCTCCACGTTCGTGGGGAAGTCAAACAAGATGTTGCCCTCCTTTGGATCATCTCGCCCCCACCATAGCAATGTGGAATGGCGGCCGCTGTGCTCTGCAGGGCTGTCGGCAGGTCGACGAGCCTCAATGCCGCCGTGGATCAGCTGAGCAGCGGGTAACCACGTGACCTGCCGCTCTTGCCGCCGGCTCCACCCCGACGACCCGCGTCTCGTAAAGGTCACGAAGCAGCTGATTGCGGCTATTTCCGCCAGCAGTTTCCACCGGATGTGTATGATAAGTGGCGTGTGTGTGAGTGTGGTGAGTGTGTGGGAGCGGTAGTGCAGCGGGTTTAGTGTGGTGAGTGTGTGGGAGCGGTGAGTGTGTGGGAGCGGTGAGTGTGGTGAGTGTGTGGGAGCGGTGAGTGCAGCGGGTTTAGTGTGGTGAGTGTGTGGGAGCGGTGAGTGTGTGGGAGCGGTAGTGCAGCGTGTTGGTGCGCTTCGTGACGAGCCCCACCGACTCCGAGTTCGATTCCCGCTCGCGGTCAGCACCAGCGGCGAATCGGGTCGACTCGGCCTCAAATGAGCAGCCGGGGCGATGTTTTCATCTCGATGGAGAGAATGGAGGACCCAGGGAAAAGTCCCACCACCGGCCGAGCGAGGGGGCAACACGCTATCCCATACAGGAAGGACGGATGATGCGAGCCGGCACTTTGCCGAACTGCATTCTCGTGGGGCAAGGGAATTGTAAGGGGGCGGAGGCGAGTCCGCACTTTGCTGCGTGTCTCTCTTTTTATTTACGATCAGTGGAAACAAGAAGATGCTCGGTGTATTCGGCACTTTGCTTCGTTCATCATTTTGTAAAAAAAAAATTTAATAATACCTTTGCTTCATGTAAACCCCCACCTCTCGCTCACTCTCTCGCTCTCTCTCGCTCACTTCTGCCAAGGGCCATTTGGATATTGATAACATCATTCGCGGGCCATACAGAATTATCAACTTAAAAATTAGCCAGTTATATTCGGTCAAACATTTCATTAACTCACACCCCTAATGCGATGGCTGGAACTGCTTCTCTTTGGCGAGGCGTGTGATGTTAGCTGGTGTTGATGATGTTGCTGCTACTCGCAACTGCTTTTCTAGGTTTGCTTCTAGATTTATTGAATTTTGAGTGCGGTTGCCTTGGCAGGGCCAGAGACCAAATTATTTCACGGGCCGGACGTTCCCCACCCCTGCTATAGGCTGTCGTGGGGGAACGGATTTCGGCAGTCCGAAAGCTTTCCCGAATTTTTATTTTTCGAACGGATCTTTGTTTGATGGCCTCTCAGCACCGTCAACGGAGCTCCGTTTTGTGTTCAGTCAGTGACGGCGGATTACAGTTTAGGGAAGAAGACTTTTTTTAATATTTCGTGGCGACAAAGCACGGTGGATTTGTTATCCACAAAACATAGGTTGTGTTGGGTTAGACCACGCGAATGTAAATGTGTCGTTAAACCCGCCGCAACCCAGCAGCCGATTTGGTGAGGTTTTTGCCACGTCAACAAAACGTGCCCATTCGTTTCTAGGTCAGCGCTAACCGGTTGTATGTCGGAGAGTAAACCCCGCTACAGCATTTACAATTCTAGTACCGTGACGTTTCGCCGGTAACAACAACAACTAGCCACCAGCAGCATCATCATCAGGCGATCTTAAATCATTACCGGTGCATCGTCACAGGACTCGAGATTATAAATATTCACTCTTTGGTTCTTTCGGTAAAGTCACGTAGTTAGAAATAAAATCAAACAAATCACGACGTTTCGATCGCAACACAAGCGGTCGTCATTGGGCAAAGGAGTTGTATCCGTGTTATTTTATTTCTACCCACGTGACTTTACCGAAATAACCAAAGAATATGGATTCCTGCAGTCACGAAAGCTTCAAATCGAGATTCTAAATGTTGTTGTGTGTTTACTCTCCACCGCGCCGGGTGTGCCGTGCTAGCAACGAATTGCCACGGTTTTTGTTGCTGCCACAGCGAGTTCGTTTTGGAGTGGAGCAGCAATTGGTCCAAATAGCAGCAGCAGCATTGTTCCAATACAAAGACAAAGACCCACCCGTGTAGCCTGAAACAGACTTGGGGCAAGTGCTGCCAGCGAGTAGCACCTATGAAGACCGGAACTGCGGCTACGCGAGGGGGTGGGTGGCCAGCACCACGCCCGGCCGCCTTTGTCTCCCCTGGTCGGCCGTGTTCGGGTAGTGGCGCGTTTCGCGACGCACATTTAAGCGCTCCAATCCAGACAAAACCTCCCAGGGATACTAATGTAATAAAAGGACTCAGACACTTCTTGCTGACTCCGTGTCCTTTATTTGGGGTTCGCGTTCTCCTTCCCACACGGCACTCCTCCTGAGACTCTCTCCCTGGCAGCCCCACATCTGCCTTCGCTCCCGTAGCCTTCCACGCTCCTGCAGCTCCGCTGCAGGCTCTTGGTACAGCCCTCTGGCTGCTCCCCCAGCAGCTCCATCTCTGCTCCCTGTTCCTCCGTGCGTGGCGATCTCGCCACCTCCCAATGTCAGCCCTTCGTGGCCTCTATGGCTATCTCGCCATTTCCTACCTCAGCCCTTCGTGGCCTCTGTGGCTATCTCGCCACTTCCTACCTCAATCCTCCACTCTCTCTTCCACCCCGCTGGCTGGCGCCGTCATGAGCCCCTCAGCCACCAGGCTGAGGCACGGCGACCACCCAACGTGTTCACCACCCTTCACTCCCCCGACTGACCCAGATAGCTTCCTGTCTCCCCGCTATAACTTCTCCCCCACGTCACCCTGACTCCTCCCTCTCGGATCGTCATATCCGCCCCGCCCATTTACGCCCGCATTACACTACCCTCCCCCGTAGAGAAAATCCCAGCCGTCCTCGGCTGAAACAGAACAAAATAATGCGGGCGAAGGCATCACAATCAGGAGTCCCCCAGACACAACGGAGATTATAACAACAACAACACAAGCAACGAAAGGGGAGGTATCAGGAACTGGAACAGAACACCGGCCTGTCCTCCGCACAACAACAACAAGAATAAGAATGGCACAATGAACAACAACGGCAACTGATACGCAAGAACGGCCAACGCGCACAACCCAGAATGTGATGTTTTAGTGCGTGTCCATGTTGCAGTTCCATCCGCTCGGCTCAAGTCCAA